TTTTTTTTTTTTTTTTTTTTAGTGTCTTTTTAAGAGCATCTAAGCACACACACATAAAAAGCTAGAAGGCATGCATTCCGGAGTTATTCCTATGCATATCCCTGCAATAATTTTCCGCTTTCCTTCGATAAAATTGCCAAATAATAATGAATCATTTCATAAATAATGGGTTTAGAAGCTTATCAGGGCAGGCGGGCCACTGCTGGGGTTTTATCTCTCTCGGCCACATTGCAGTAGTGTTCCGCTCTCCATACTAAATAGGAAACTGGACGTGATGTGGAATTAGAGCCTACCCAGCTGAAGCCACCCAACACTTACTACAAATATAGCCGCGATGCGTAGGCCACAAAATGGCTCCACTCACTTTTCCCAATGAAAAGCAAATGGTGAGTAAAGAGGAATCGGCTCTGCAGAAGTCTGGGCGCTGGGGACGGGGGGATGTGGTTTTGGGGGGCTTCGGAGGGCAGTGAGGGAGCTTTTGGGGGCTTCTGCCCCACATGAGAGACGGGAAAAAAACACAACATCTTTTCCGCGGTTGGATTTTAATCTTTTTTATTCTTTGATGCGGGGTCGGTGAGGAGGAGAATGCACTTTTCCCTTTGAAATTGTGGGGTGCGGCACCCCCACGGCCCCGGGACCCTCGGGCTGCGGCAGCGAGGCGGCGGCTGGGACGGGCTGGGGGGCGCTGGGGGCAAAGAGCCCCCCGGGCCCGGCTCCCCCGGCCTCTCCCCGGGGACAAACACCAGGACACGGCCAGAACCCGAGCGCTTCCCCCCGAGACGGGGGTCCCCGATATCCCGCTCCCTCCCGCCCCTTCGCTTTGGGGCGATTTCCCTACAAAGGGCCGGCGGGAGAGGTGCGCTTTTGGGTTGAAAATTTCCTGCCGATCGGCTGCTGGAAAACAAAAGGATTTTGCGAAGCAGAAACCAGCGGGCGGGGATTTAATGCCCCCCCTCCATTTTTTTTTTCCCTAAACGAAACCACTGCAATTTAAGGCAAAATTCTGCTGATATCTTTGCGGTTTTGCGTATTTCGTTTTTTAACAACTGCGGGAAGAGACGCCATCGGGATTATTTCTTTTTTTACGAAGGGGAAAACCTAATTTTTCGTGATTTCGTTGGCGGGGTGAGCCGGCCTCACCTTCCTGTCGCTGGGCGGCGGGGAGCGGGCTCTCTCCGCCGCCGGCCCGGTGCCGGCTGTCGCGGTTCCTCGGCCGGGGGCGCGGCCGGTAACCGGCCCCTTGAGGAATTTCATTTGCCCCTTTAGGAATTAAATTTTCCAGCCGGACGTGGGAGAAAGGCCGCCGCCGTCGCCGCTTCGTGCGAGCCCATCGGGAGAAAAACAACCCCGTGTCCGGCCCCGTCTGTGATTTCCTCCCGGGAACACCGGGCTTGCAATGTGTCCAAAAAACCGCCCAATTCGCCCCAGATATAGGGCGCTTTTTTTCACGTCTTTTTTTTTTTTTTTTTTTTCTGTGTTTATTTTTTTTTTCCACGCCAGACCATGGCCGTCGCTCGTTGTGGCCCCGTGTGCGAGGCGGCGGCGGCGGGGGGGGACCGGGGGTGGCCGCTGTCCCCTATCACAGGGGCCTCCCCGGGGTGCTGTCCCCTCCTTCCCTCTCCCCTGCACCTTTCTCCCTCCGCTGATCTCTGGCAATCCGGACCCACGAGATCCACCCTCTCCTTTTTTTTTTCTCCCTCCCTTCTCTTCCTCCCAGGATTTAGCAGTTTTATCCCGATGCGGGTGTCCTTCCTCTCTGTAAAGTCGTAAGTACCTTGAGGTGGGAGGAGTAAATTCAGCCTGACACTGAGAGCGCTTTTGTTGAAACAGGAGAGACTTGCGGTGTCCCTACTTAAATATGACACATGTGAGTAATCTCTTCCTATACAATATCGGAATAGACAATTAGATTTTTCTTTCTAGAGGGCTGGTGGGAAGGTGGCCGGAGGGAAGGCAGAGAACTTGTGCTTTAGGTTGGGGAGTTGTAATTGTTTTATTTTATTTTCCAGAGAGATAGTGATATATGGCAAAAAAATTTGGGGTTTTGTTTTGTTTTGTTTTTCCCTCGCGACTCAGCTTATCAGAAACGAAATAAAAAATTACCCGAGGCAAAGGACCGAGAATGATGGGTGGCAGCTTTCTGCTCCATGAAGCTCCTTATTTATATAGGAAAGAATAATCAATCAACCAAAACAAAACAAAACAAAAAAAAAAATCCAAAACCGAACGAAGGCATACGTGGGAGATAAAGCATAGAAATAATCGCGATATCTGCCCCAGGCACGAGGTGCCCTGTCGCGACAGCATTTGTTCTGTGGGAGAAGGGGGACAATGCTTTGTGTGCGGCCGCGGCCGGGCCCCTTCCTCCTTCCTGCGGTAGCGAGTGTGCGGGGGGATCGCCTCCGTTAGGGGCTGGGTTAACCCCCTCTCCCCCAAAAAGCGCTTTCAGGTATATTTCGATAGTTTATAAGTAACAATAAAAAACAATCATGAGAGGAGAAGGGGCCGCCCGTGAGGCTAAGGCCGCTGCAGGCAGGCCGGGCGGCACCGGGCCGGCTCCGCAGGGTGGGGAGCCCTGAACGGGGAGAAATGCCCCCCGAAAAGCGGGGATGTGCGCTGAGCCTCCGCCGTAATTCGGCCGCACCGTTGAACCGCACCCCCGGCGGTGCCGCGGCCGCTGCCCGAGCCCGCGGCCGCTCGGGCGCCCCGGCGGTGCCGCCGTGGATCCCCGCGGGGCGCCGGGAGCGCGGCGGGGGCTCCGCCCGTGCCCGTGCGGGACCGGGCGCTGCGAGACGTCAAAGCGCCTCCGTGACGTCACGCGGGACCGGGGCGCCCCGTGACGTCACGGCACCGCACGGCTCGGCGGGGTGGACCGGCAGGCTGCCCTCCTCCCGCCAGCAAACTCGGAATTATTCGGGGCGATCAGGGGCTCCCCCGTTTCTCACCGACGGGTCCAAGCCTCGAGGCGGGCCCCCCGTCGGGGCGGTGCCCGTGCGGGGGCAAAGCCGCCGCGGGCCCGGTGCGGGGCCGGCCCCGAGCGCTGCCTCTCTCCGCAGGACGATGGACAGGCCGCCCGCCCCGCCGCCCCCCAGTGACCCCCGCGATGCCCGCCCCGCCCGGCGGCACGACTCGGAAGCGGAGACCACGAGCGAGCCGGAGAGCAGCCGCGGGGGCATGGAGGCGCCGGCGGACCCCCAGCTGCTGCTCAACGGGGCGGCCAAGGAGGCGGGCCGGCCCTCCCCCGGGCCCCCCGCCGCCCCTGTGCCCGTCATCGAGCTGGTGCGCCGGGGGGGCTCCCTGGACATAAAAAGCCGTGAGGCGGCGGGGGAGGCGATGCAGAGAGCGCCGGGAGCCGAGCCGTGCCGCGCCGCCGAGGCTGCCTGCGAGGCCCGCATGGTGCAGCTGAGCCCCCCCGCGCTCCCGCTGCAGCCCCCCGGCAGGGCCATGCTCTACAACCTGGGCCAGCCGCTGGCCACCATCAACAGGTCCGTGTCACCCTTGTCCCGTCCCATCCCACCCCGAGCAGCTCCCCCGGGGGTGTCCCGCGCGGTGTTGGGGCGGCGGGAGGCGAGGGGCGGAGATGCGGGGGCATGAGCAGCAGCATCCCTTCCTCTCTGCGCCGGGCTCGTCGCTTAATCATCGCGGCTTTGCACGCAAACTTTGCAAAGAGGGAAAGGGAAAAGGCGGGGGGGAAAGTCAAGAAAGAAACGAAAAACTCGTTCCTCGAAGGAAAAAATATTTGCGGTGATAAAGTCCTGGGCAGAGCGAAGGGGTCCGTCAATAAACGGGCGAGAACCGGCTTAGCTCTTCCGAGCTTCCCGGGCTCTCTCTGTTCTCGGACAAGTCCCGCAAATAAGCGAAAGGGACAGCAGAGGCTCTGACAGGGCTGAGCCAGGCCGGGGCTGTGCGGATCCTGCCTCGCCTCGCAGGGAAAGCTGCGGTGAGCGCCCGGCCCTGCACAAACTCTCGGGAATGGGGATTTTGCCCTGAGCCGCAAGCCTGGGCGCCCCACGCCGCTCACATCCATCCCTGTCCGGGCAAGGCTGGCGGCTCTCGCTGCGTGTCCCCGGCTGGCCGCGTGTGCTGTCACCGCACGACCCCGGGCTCGCTTCGTGAGCAGCGAGCTCGCTCCGAGGTCACGGAGCGGCTCCGCTTCCCGCCCACCCGGACGCGGCCCCCGTCACGGGCAGGGCCGGGGGGGTGTCCGTGTGTGCTCACGGCCTGTGTGCCTTCCTTTGCAGCGGGTTTTTCGGCGAACCGGACTCCTTCTCCATGTACGGCAGCAACCGGGTGAAGCGGAGACCCTCCCCGTACGAGATGGAGATCACCGACGGTGAGAGAATTTCCCCCTGCGCCGAATCTTGGCAGGGAGGGGTGTCTCCATCTGCCATGGGGGGCAAGTTCCTGCACAATGCCGCGCTCCGGCACTAAACCCCCAAATAACAAAAGGACTAAACGCCCAAAGCGTAAACCGCGAGTAGGATGCCCAGGGGGGCAGGGGGGCTCTCCGGTAAGCGGAGCCCACAGCGGTCCCCAGCAGCGTGCTCGCGGAGTTTGCCTTCCCCCAGCGCCCAGCGATGCAGTTCAGCCTGTGGCTGATTACATCCCTCTTCTGCGAATGGCTTAGAGATTAATCCGAAAGAAGACAATAAGTGCGCGTCTTTGTTGAAGTGCGGATCAGGGCCATTGCAGGGAGATGCTGGGTCTGTAAACCCTTTCAGCCAGGAGGCGTTGGCACTGCAGACCACAGCCTTGGCAGAAAGGATAACCTGCCTTTAAACCAGCCGCCTGGGCATCCTTCTCGCGTTTTAGGGTTTGCCTGCTCCTGGCAGCAGGTTTGGGGTGTGGGATGCTGCTGTGAGGGGTGTCTGCCCACGGGCTGCTGCTCACGCAAAGGGATACTTGCAAGAACGATTTGCACGTGGAAGGCCGACCTGTTTATCTCTGGGTTAATTGTCCGTGCACATAGATTCACTGAAATGCGTTTTCTCTTTAGCAATTGTTAACACTGTATTTCAATTGTCGGACAATTAATTTTCTTCCTTTCCAGCTAGCTGTCCCTTTCCTTCTACCCAGCTAATCTAAGATCAAATCATAACCTGCATCAGTCTAAAATAATGCATCCCGAGATGAGAGGCTCAGGCTATTATCTGCATTAATCAGTCCTCCCCTTCCCACTCTGCCCTCCCGGTCCTTTCAGACTGCAGCCCCGTGGGACAGGGGATGTTGCAGCCCCGGCACAAGAAGGGCTTTTTGTCTGGGTTTTGATACCAAGGCTTAGCCGTTATGTGGAAAAGTCCATCAAATCTCGGTGTCTGACTAAAGCTTTGGACTTGCTATTAAATTAGGTATTAAGGATTACAGAAATACTTGGTTTTAAGCAAGTTTTTGAGCATGTGTTTTGTTGCAGGTGTACAGATTGGGCTCAATCCTGCAGGTTCTGGTTCATGTGAATTTCCAAGATTGGACTCAGTATTTTTTGAGGGGAAGAAGTGTATCAGATTATGTTATCTAAACAGGAACAATTTGTAGGGGTGCACATCCCATGCTGAGGCACCTGTGTGGTCTGGGGCCCTTTGCTTATTGCTCTGCTGGGTGACATCCATGGCGCACAGGAGCATCACTCTTGGGGGTCCTCAGCCCTTGGGGGCTGCAGAAGGGCAGGAAAATCTTCCCAGACACTTTGTGTTTGTGTTTTTTCTGCAAGAGAATAAGTGGTGGGTTTTTTGTAGTAGTTCTTTATCTATTTTATGGGAATTTTGTTCCATTTAATGTCTTCTTTAAAAGAAGAAGTGAAGATAAAAAGGCAAAAAAAAAGTATCTCTAAAAAAGTATATCCTGGAACTTTGGAAGAACATATTTTTATTAATTTCTCTGATATTTCTAATTTTAAAAAGCATCAGTCAATCCATTAGAACAAAATCCAGGCAAAAATTCTCATCTGATTGCTTGAATTAATTATTAGGCAAGGTTTTTTTTATGAGAAGTAGATTTTCTATTATAACACAGCTATGGGGCATTTTAATTTCCTCCACTGCTTGACATCTTTTGGTCAAAGCCTGATCTCTTTCTAAAAGATATGTTTAATTCAGTTGGGGCAGGAATTGAGAATTTGAGTGGTGTCAGGATTGGTTTTATATACTAAAATTTGATTTGAGTGCTCCTGGATGAAAATGAACAGGTCTTTTTTTTTTTTTTTTCCTGATTTCTGACCAATTTATTAATATATGCCTTTTAGCCATCAACTAAACAGAAATACATATTTTAAGACTCAAAGTCTCATGAAGATTTTTTTTTTTAATGAGCAGTATCCAAGATGAGGTTATTTCTCATACCCTTATGGGAGGAGTAAATCGCTTTTGAACTCCATCTCTCCCTGGATTCAAGACCACTTGCTTTGTCTTGTCTAGAAAGAGCAGTAAAGTGCAAAAATTTATTATTTTAGTAGGATGTAGCACATTCTTCACTGCTTAATTAGCAGTGCTGCTGAGGTCCCTGTCACCTTCCCCACAATCCTGTGGCACAGCAGGCTGCACACATCAGGGACAAGAAACCTTCCCTTTGCATGAGCTCCTGTACCTTAACTCATACCGAGGGCATTAGGTGCTGTCTGGGGGTGAATATTGCCTTTATTAGAGCATCACACTGGCATCCTAGAGGTCAGAGAGGTTTTTGTCATTTCTACATCCCCTAGCTTGTCCCGGGGGCTGTTTGTGACTTTAGGGGGCTCCCAGCTCTGAGCACACCGTGAGGAGGGGTGAGTTGTGTGGCTGCTCGCACACTGGAGAATTTGGCAGCTTGAACTGGCTGCCTGGGAGTGTGTCCCGAGGCAAACCCTGCAGTGCAGCGTGCCCTGTGTGCTGTGCTGGGCTGCAGGGACTCGGCTTCCCCTGAAGGGAGCAAAGTGTGATGCTATCTGGTCAGCTGGAACGAGGGATTCCACCTCTCCTGTTGTGCAGGGTGGGATTTGCTGAGGTACAGCCTGACCAGGATACTTCTAAAAAGTCACACACGTCTGGTTCCTGTGCCACAGTCAAGTCAGCCAAGAGTTTTGCTAGAAAAGAATAAAGGTGTTTAAATGTGCCCTGGGGTGCTGGTTCCACTGGGTGATGTCAGAACTGTGGCTTAAACTGCTCACCAAGGCCAGGGACTTGTTCCCATCAGGAGGGAGAAGTTAGGCAGGTGTGGAATACAGGGGAGAGATGGGGGGAATGGGAATTCTACAGCCCTTTGGGGTAAATCTCACCAATGTGATACCTGCAAGGCTTTGCTTCCCACTCTGTGATGATTTTCACTGTATGTGATGCTTCCTATCCCATGGGAATTTCTGCCCTGCTCATTCTTCCAGATTTTCATGAGATTGATGTGAACTTCCATTGTTGATGTCTCCTGGAGGAGATGATGGGAAGGATGTTATAATAAAAGCATCTTGTGATAGTGTTCCCTCATGTGAGCTGGTTTCCATGGACCCAAGGACCTGCAATCCTGATTTACAGCACTGCTGCTCCTGCAGAACAGTACTTTTTGGTAGATGTGCTTTTGGGTCTCCTCTAGCACAGAGACAAAGCTTTTCTCATGTACACCAGGAGCTGCCCTGATGTGCTGAAAGAAGAATTTGTGTGTTTTGTGCCTTCATCCTGTGTAACATTCCCTCTTAGAAACATGGCCGTAAAATTTCAAGGTGTAATTGGGGGTTACATGTAATTAGGTCAAGTGGACACCTCCATCAATTTGGAGTCCCTTCTCCAATTAGTGTCAGAGGGGTTTTTGCCCTGTGGCAGTGAGGAGGAGAGAGAGCAGGCAGCCCTCAGGTCAGCTCAACTGTTCCATCCTCACCCTTCCAGCAGGACACTGCCTTCACTCTGTGGGTCAGTGTGGTCACTTTTGTACCTGCCCTCATTGCTATGGGGCAAATCCCACCACCCCGTTTCATTCAGAGGGCTGCTGGCAACCCTCTGGTCTCTCAGCAGGAAAAATCTCTGGATCTCAGAGTTGTCAAAGCCTCTGCTCAAGCTAATTTTCCTCCTGTCCCAATGGTGGGTCCTCTAGACAATTTTTGGGATAGAAAATAAAGCCATATAGTTAAATTAACTTTTAATAGGACCATTGTTGCTGACTTATCCTTGTTGAGGAGTTGAGATACCCTAAAATTATAGCAGCCTTCTGCACACATATCATGTCCTGAGCCTTCTTCCTTGGAGAGGTAAATTTCACTATCTGAGGAGACATCCAAAGAGATGCAACTCCATTTTTCCCTTCCGCTGGATTGAATGGAAGTTACAGCTTTCTCAGCTCATGGGGTCAGTTTCCACTTAGCTGGAAACTCTTGTTTCACTGCCTTGCTGATTAAACCTCACTAAAATTAGTCAGTTAGTTAATTTGCAAAGCGGTGACCTGTCCAGCACAGTTATACCTGGCCTGTTAGACCCAGCTCCTAACTGTGCGTGGTTGGAATTGCAGGTCCCCACACGAAGGTGGTCCGTCGCATTTTCACCAACAGCCGGGAGAGATGGAGGCAGCAGAATGTCAACGGGGCCTTCGCAGAGCTGCGCAAGCTCATCCCCACCCACCCGCCCGACAAAAAACTCAGCAAGAACGAGATTTTGCGCCTGGCTATGAAATACATCAACTTCCTGGCCAAGCTGCTCAACGACCAGGAGGAAGAAGGAAACCAAAGGGGCAAAGTGAACAAAGACTCGGGGATAGTCCAGGAAGACCTCCTGCAGGACATGTTGTCTCCCAACTCTAGCTGTGGAAGCTCTTTGGACGGAGCGGCCAGCCCGGACAGCTTCACGGAAGAGCACGAGACGCTGGATTCGAAGCACACGCGGAGCCTGCACCACGCCATCCTCCCCGTAGAAGGCAACGCGCAGCGGTGATGATCCTCACTCTGCTCACTCTGCTCCCGAAGAGCCACGGGGGAGAGGCCAGGCCTGGCTGTGCAGCTGCTGGAACTTGTGCTTGTGGGGTTTGTGACTCTGCCTTTCCCTGGGCTGCCCGCTCTCCCCAGCCCGGCACGGTGGCCGAGGACAGGACCAACCCAAGATGAACGTTCGGGGTTTAGGTACGTGACCGTACAAAGAAGAAAAGCGTTGAAGTCATCTTCGTTGTACAGAACTGCTCGGGATGGGACTCTGAGGAGGGGAAGGAGACGTGGCTGGTGCATCTCCAGCGTTTAGAGGGTTTTCAGACCACTTGGTGGCCGCCTCTTGTCAAGCAGTCATCTGGGTGAGACGTGGAACTCCTCTGCGCTGCCCACGGAGGCCACCGGCGCTTTCCAGCTCCACGTGGTGCTGGAAACTGCTGCATCACGCCAGTGCTGCAGCACTTCTCCAGCCTGTGGCACATCCAGCTGCTCTGAGCAGGAGCTTGGCCACATATTCCTGTTGTCCGAGAGCTTCTGACTGTATCTTTTTAAAGAGCTGAAAAAATACCCTCAGCAAAAGAACTATTAAAATGATTTAGACTATTTCTTTTTCTCTCCTTTTTTCTTTCTTTCTTTCTTTTTTTTTTCCTCCTTCCCTTTCTTCCTTTCTCTTCTATCTAATTTTGGATTGTTTGGGCTTGTTGTATTTATGATGTGGGATTACTTCCGTTTAACACTGTCATGCAGTATCCACTGAATGAAAAGGTACATAGGTGTTTTCTGCCACCCTCCCAGTCCCTGATCCTTCTGCAGGTGAATTTCAAGCCTGCTGAGGTCTTCTAGAGTTTTCCCAGTGGTTTCTGTGGGACCAGATCTTCTCTTGAGAATTATGAATTTCAGAGTTGGAAAAGGAAGAAAATATTTGCTAGTGAAGTATCTCTTTGGACTGGGGGATTTTTAAATTCAGAAAAGCAAAAAAAAAAAAAAAAAAAAAAAAGGGCAAAAGGAGTCAATGATGTATCAACAGTGTGCGTGTACATAGGGTTATAAAAAGGTTTTTTGATGGTATGCTTTGAATTTTTTGCTTTTATTTTGTGAAATGGTGGTTCAGCTGTGCCAGTGCCCACAATAGTGCTGGATTTATTCTGGTGTTAGGAAGGTCCTCACCTGTTGAGGCTGGTGGGAGTCCATAGCCTCTCTGAATCTTGGGGGAAGCAGTAAAAACAGCGGTGGGCTTAGCCTGCACTCCTGAGTGCTCAAATTGCTGCAAAACTGAGCTCTGTGACTGTGCTGCTGCCCCTCAGGAGGAGGTTTGGGAAACAGGACAGGGGAGCAGGAGGCCACTGCTGTGGTGGCTGGGAGCTGAGACCACCCTGTGCCACCACTGCTGCATCAGGCCCACCTCCACCAACCCATCTCCTGGGGCCTGATGGAGCAACTGCCCCAAACCCATCCTCTCCCTCTGCAGAGATGCCAAGGCACAGAAATCTCTACCATGATACAGTAGGAAAAAACCCCAAACCCACACACAAACATCCTTTGGAAAGGAGGAAATCATCCTGAGTGGGGACATCTTCCACCACACTCGTGCCTTCCCAGGGATGCTGAGGTACAAGGGAACACAGAGAATTTGAGTGGGTGTCTGCGAGCCCATCCAGGCTTAATTCAGAGCCCTGTCATTTCCATCCCTGCTTGGTTTTGATGCCTCTTTGTAAATAATAGGTAAGAGTCTGGCATGTGGCTTGGCATGTTAGGCAGAATTAGTTGCCTGGGAAGAGATCCTGGCCCATGCAGGGATTTCCAGCATAGCCCCCAAATTTTTGGAAAGCACCAATCTTAAAGTGGGGAAAAGGAGGAAAATTCCTGGGTCTGGATTGCCTGTGCAGGGGTTTTTTACAAGAGGGGGTTACCTGCAGGGAAGGTGCTGAGGGTGAGGAGGCAATGCTGAGGGAGAGGTTTGGACTGGTACTGGTGCCAGGGGTGGGAGAGACAAGCAGGGAGGCTGCCAGGTGGGGAGTAGGGGGGTGCTGTCACACAGGTAAAGCCAGTCCTGGTTCCCAAATAACCCTGGGTGGGATATGTGGGGCTTTTACACTCTACTGATTAACCTGCTGCAAGGAAAAAAAATAAATCACCTATCCTCAGAAATCCCTCATTCCACACAAACCCATTACTTCTTGTCTGTATCTTCTCAGTAGCTGAACAGTTGGGAAAATGGTACAACCTTGTCAGCACCCCCAAACGCCCCCAGGCACCCACGCTCCTGCAGGGAGCTGCAGGTCCCGGGGCATGTACAGTTGTACTTTAATTGTGATTTGAATGGTACATTTCCTCTGCCCACCTCTCCTCCTGCCTGCTTCATCTCTTGCTGTGTGGACCATCACCCCCATTCCTGTTGGGAGCAGCGCTCTGGGGCAATGTTGTACCGTGTGAGTGAATTCCTGCCTTACGAATTTTGGTTTTTTCAACCCCATCCCTTTCTCTGCCACCCTCCCCTTGGATTTCTGCATTTTTTCTGCAGAAATGAAGTAACCAGACCTGGTACCCTGAGTCTCAACCCACTGTGGATGTGCTATTTAGAAAACACATTTGTTGTAATGTGTGTGTATATATAAATATATATATATAATGAATATATCAAGAATATTTCTAAATAAAGTTTTACAAAGCAGCCTCCACTCGCTGTCTGCCTCTGTCCCACCTCACCACTCGAATCCATCATCACTCTGGAGTTTCATCCCTGAGCGTCGTGGGGCGCAGATGCCGGGGTGGCCCATTCCCAGCCAGCCAAAGACATAAACGGGCAGCAAAAAAACGTTGCAAAAGGACCTGTAGATTGTTTGGGTTTGTTTTTTTTTTCACTTGCTTGACTCACAGCGTCCAGCCTGGGCGGGGGGAAGAGCCCAGGGCCAGCAGGAAGGAAGGCGGGTGATGAAGCAATGCCCGCTGCAGCGAGCGTTACCAGCCACCCCCTCACCCCCAGCGTGTCACTTGTAGGTCCCCCAAAGGCTCCAGTGGCCTTTTCCCTTCTTTTGGCGAGGCCGACTGTGCAAGGAAGGGGCTGCTGGGGGGCCACGCTACTTCCCTTTGCACCATGGCAGGCATTCGGCCATGATTTAACAGGCAGTGAGAGTAATTCCTCTTTTTCAAGAAATGATCACAGCCACGTGCATAAGTGCTTTTAAAAATACACAGCACTAATTAGGGAGTGTTACAGGCTAAGCACTCCATTGAACATGTATGTATTTTAAAAATATATCTATCTATATCTTATACACATATATATATATTATATATATATTATTTATGTATGTGTATATATCACTATGCTGCTGATTGTGGCTGACACTATACTGAGCACAGGGCAGATGAGCAGGAATGGTACCACAAGTATTTTCTTGTCCTTCATTTCTATGAATTACAGAGTTGTTGCCTATTTAAACAAACTCTTTAAAGCATACCTCACTTTTTTAAAGCCTCCCCACAAAAGCTTAGCTGCTAACCCTTCCTCCACAACAGCCTTGGAGCCAATGTTTGCTTTTGAGGTTTCTAGGTGAAATTTCCCCCCGATGGAAGAGTGGAGCCTTTCTCACACCTGGGGGTGTGGGAGCCCTGTCCAAAGCCCCAGAGGAGGGACAGAGGCTGACCCCTCCACAGCCAGGCTGAGCAAAGCCCTGGCAGCCAGGACTGGGCTGGTTTCACCCCAGGCTCTGGGACAAGGCGTGGGGCAGGTGTGGGCAGTGTGTGGCTGCTGGGTGCTTATCTGGAGCTGGGAGATGAGGACTGTACATCTGGTTTAACCCCTTCTCCTGTTCTGCTGCCAGCCCAGCAAGAGCTGATAGTTCACCCACCAGTTATCTCTGCCTCCCACCTCCTGCCCCTCTCCCTCCCTCCTTCCATTGCCTTTCACCTCCTTTCACCTCCCCCTTCTGCTTTTTTGCTTTCTTCAAGTAAAATGTCCTTGATGGCCACAAGTATTTTGCAACCAGCAAAGGAAAGAAACATCCTTAAGGGAAAACCACCTGCAGGGTGAAGGATTCAAACAACTCTGTGCACATTTATAGGTTCTATAACCTATGGAAAGGGCTGAGAGGCGTCCAGTGCCAGCTGCTCCATGGTGAGATGGTCAATGTGCATCACTCCTGATTGACCCCCATGGTGGGAGACCCTGGGTGCTGCTCTGCTGGGACAGGCTCCAGGGTTGTGTCCCCAGGTGGTGGTTTCACGTTGGCCATGCTGGAAGAAGCATCTTTCTTCCATCATCTTTTTCTCCTGAGCATCTGGACCTTCCTTGTTGCTGCTTGGCCACCAAAATGCAAATGTCACAGAAAGTAGCAGACATTCACCTGCCTTTGTGTTTCTTTCTAAAAATAATTTTTGAAAGTCCTTTCCATTCTTGTCTTCCACTGACCACATTTTTTTTTTTCTGTTCATGCAAAACAGAAAAGAAATCTGGGGAAAGCACCCTAAGGTCCTGGTTGCCACTGCACAGAAGGGATTGGTGCAGCAGGATGAAATAGCCTGGGTGTCATGGGTGGCATTGGCCTCAGCTGGGACAGTGCTGGGGCCCATCTCTCACCGGTGGCACCACAAGGTGATGGGGAGTTCCAGTCTGTAGGGCAGGAAATTTTCTGCCAAATGGCAGTTTCTTCACAAATTTGAAACAGATGCATTTAAAGGTGTTTTGTTAATCCAGTTTTGTATTGTGTTCCAGGAACTGAGTGACTTCAGGCTTCCAGTGGCAGGAAATTTCTCCTTACAAGTGCATGGATGACACTGGGAAGTGAGAACACAGGAGACTTGGCATTGAGATAAAATTGAACTAAAAATCGGACAGAAGGTGGGAGGATTGCATATATCCAAAATTATGAAAGAAAAAACACAAAGCCCCAGAATCACTCCAAATTTGGGCATCTACTATTTTCCAGGCTCATTATTTGTTTTTAATTACAGTCTTTCTGGCAAAGCCATGTGGAGGGCAGCCTGCACTGGCAGCCCTGCCTGGGAACCCAGCCGAAGCCAGGAGCAAGGTCCTGCTTCATTAAGGGCATTCCCGCATAATTGAATCAAATCTGCTCACGGAAACGACGGGACCCAAACATTCCCACCCGGGCAGCCGATGAGAAAGCTTCTCCTCTTCGCTCTGACAGCCGAAGTGACAACAGGAGGGAGTAATTTATGGCTCTCTGGGACTGCTCGAGCTGCTCTTCATCCCGGGGCTCATCCCTGACATTCCCAGCGCCACACAAAGGCTGCAGCCGGCCGGGGGTGCCCAGGGGACACCGCGCTGTCACACCAGCAGCGAGCAGGATCCTCTCTCTCCTCCCAGTCCTGTTTTTTCTCTCTGGTCCTCCTGCCTCTCCTTTCACCTTATTACTCGTTCACCTTTATTTATTTTTATTTATTTTTATTTTTAGTTTCCATCCTAAAACTGGGAAGGGAGAGAAGGCTAGGGGTGGATAGCAGAGGATGAGGATGCTTTGAGACCACAGGGGCCACAGCGGGGACCTGCACGACTGATGAGGATGCAGGAAACCTCCCGGGGTGGGTCCAACAGGCGCTTTCAGACTTGTCCCCCCGGTAGACATTCCTTTTCCCCTGCTC